GAGCCACTAGAGGGCGCTGCTGGCCAGATTATGCAGGCGCTCACGCTGCTCTCGTGTGGCTGACTTTAAACGTAATCAGGTTTGAAAGGGCTGTCCCGGCTCTTTATTGTCCACTTGTCCTTTCCACAGACTGTTTAGACACGGTGCTTTTAAAGGCAACAGAACAGAAGATACGAGCGTGCTCATAAGCTTTCTAACATTAGGGTTTTTTTCTTAAGTAATATTTTTTTTAAATAAAATATTTATTTATTTAGACTTTTGAATATTATGTACTTGGGAAGGCATGCACGTGTTTGGATGTTTAAAGCACAGAGAGACAGAGAAGGCACCGGTAACTGCGCGGATCCACATCCTCCAACAAGCGTCTTTGTGTCCCAGCATCTGCTCCCTGTCACTGCTCTGTCACTTCCCATTTGTGTCGAGGCTACACTCAGATAAGATTATCTTTACGCTGTTTATTAGCCCGTTTCCCTTCCACGGTGGGACAAAAGCCTGAGGCAAACTACGCGCCATCAGCGGGCCAACGACCCGTTACTGAAAAACACAGGAATGTAGTCAGGCTTATGTTCATGTGCAGCGAGCAACAGGTCCACGTTTGACTGCAAAACTACAGCATTTATAATAATAATAATAATAATAATAATAATAATAATAATAATAATAATAATAATAATAATAATAATGTGCAGGTGTAGCTGGCTCACAGTCCAGTTTTTTTCTTCTTCATCGGTTTAGTGAGGACAGTAACAAATCTGAGTTTAAGAGTTTCAACTCTAAATTACCTGTAAATTTAGGAGATAAAAATTCAAATAATTCATTATCTTAAATTGCCGTTATGGTTTTACGGTGACTGGCTGTTTGGCAGCTGCCGCCTTTGGCTGCAGATGAACTGGACAAAGTGCCAATCTTTCCGTCATTGATCTCCCCCCGGGTCAGCCGCTAACTGCTTCATTTTAACTTACTGGCGTTTTAGTAAAACTAAGAAGGCCCCAGCGTCCCCCTGTCGGCTTCTTAGAACTTATATACAGGATCTGATCAGGG